AATCATTCAAGCAGTGTAAATACTCTAGGCTCTCTTCAAATCTATGGTTTCTGCCTCCCAATTTTTCCCTCACTACCCATTATGACATTTAAGTCACCAATAACTCCCCAATGGTCAAACTATGAGTAGAAAAGGGGGGTCATTCTAGTGACTATTTGACTATCCTTGTCTGTATTTGTTTCATGTTCTATGGAGCCATACACTCTTCTGGTGTTCTGGGAGTTCCTAGGTGAAAAATTGATATTGTTCTGGACTTAAGGTTTGGATTAAGAGGTGACTCGACACTGTTAAAAAATAGATATGTGCTTCAAGCCCCTAAATTTGAGGGACCTTATTTTTAATAATAATAGGTTATAATTTATTATTTTTTTTAAAATAGAATACTATTGGTAGAAAAAGTAAACTTTTCATGAATTGAAGGAATTATTAGAAGAAATTTGACATATTTGGAATACTATATCTCATGAAAAATAATTTAAAATAAGAATGGTTGTATTAAAAACTAGAACAAATCAATTATATAAAAGTTATTAACAATTAAAGTTTAAGGCCCCGTTTGATTTTTGCTTTAGGCCACTAATATGCTTGAGCTGCTCCTGTTTGGATTTGATGTTTTCAGGTAGTGGTGGCAAATGCAGGCGGGTTGAAAATGGTACACATAAAATGGATAATAATCAATCAGTTCATATTTGATATGGATAAAAATTGATTGAATAATAAATGGGTTGGGTAAAATACTAGTTTATCTATATTTTATCCGTATTTTCATGGATAAATAGTACTTTACTTAAGAATTCAATATGGAGAAGATATTTTAATCTTTTTTTTAGATGAAAATGTTAAACATGTTTCATTTAAATTTTATTGTATCATAAAAATAAAAAAATTCTATAACTTTTCAATATAAAATAAATTTATGTAATAACAAGATGAAAATATTTTTAATTTCAGAGTAAATGAATATTTGCATTTCAGGATTAAACAAAAAAGCAATGTCAATATTTATATATGTTTTGCTTATTTTACACTATTATTGATAATACAATAAAAAAGTTAAATAAATAAATAAAATATAATTATAATTAACAAAAGAAATGAACATTTGAATCATATATTTTTAGAGGGTCAAAGACTTCACCTTTTCAATTATAGAGAAATATAGTTTAATTCTATAGAATAACATAAAAAATAAGAGAAACTATTTTTAGGGATATCATTATTAAAGAAAATAGTTAGTTTGTAATTAGTCAAGTAGTTGGTTGGTTCAGCATAATAGTTAGTTAGGAATATAAATTAGTTATAACAGATTCTAGTGGCTAGAGTCATATAGATGTGCAAATGTATGAAGTGATGTGTGTGTGTGTATATATATATATATATATGAGTATAATGATAAGATGTAACTAAATACAAATTACATTTCACTTTACATTGTTTGTTTTCCTTTTCCTCTCAATACGTGAATCTTGAATCTCCATTGAAGAAGTTAACATGGTGTCAGAGCAAGGAAGTGAATCAACAACAATGGCGATCGACCTCGTTATTCCTTACATACATCCTCTCTATTTGCATCCATCGGATACTCCAGGATCTGTTATTTGTCCTGTTAAGTTGACATGATCAGAAAATTATGGATTATGGCGGAGATCCATGCTAAGCTTTGCAAGCGAAGAGGAAGTTAGCTTTTGTGATGGGAATCTGTAAGAAAGCAAGTTTTGAGACTAAGTATCATGATCAATGGGATACCTGTAATGCAATTGTTCTCTCATTGCTTATGAACACTGTATCTCCCAATCTCTTAAGTGGCATCGTGTATGCGCCTGATGCGTCACTAGTTTGGAAAGATCTGAAGGAACGATTTGATAAGGTTAATAGTGTAAGGATTTACCAGTTACATCGAGATATTGCTACGATTACACAGGGGATCGATACTGTTTTGGTTTATTTTACGAAATTGAAGGAACTGTTGGCAAAATATGATGCAATGGTGATATTTCCGAGCTGTGAAAGTCAAAGGATTATGTTGAGCATTTGCATCAACAACGACTGATTCAATTTCTTGGAGTCTTAAATGAATCACACTCACAGGCTAGGAGGCATATTCTCATGAAAACTTCTGAACCAACTCTCAATCAGGCGTATGCCATAATTGTTGAAGAAGAAAGTCAAAGGTCTGATGTGGATCGTAATTCTCTGGGATTGAAAGTTGTAGCTGAAGAAAATGATATCACCGCTTTTTGGACTACTAAGCATCCACCAAAGCTTCAATACAAATCTCCAAATGCCTTTTGTGATCATTGCAATACAAAAGTCCATATAAAGAATAATTGTTTTCAGCTTATAGGATATCCACCTTGGTATAAATGGAAGAAGAAATATGGATCTAATGTGCAGTACAATGTACCACTTGTGTTTAATCCTGAGTATGGTGGTCGTAATGCAGGGCCTTCTTATGGAAAGTTATCCTTTTCACACAATCATAATCCTGCTGGTGAAATTCACAGGTCTGTTGGAGGAAATGGTCACACAGGAGTTGGAGCACACACTCATGGTCATGTTGGTTTACACGGATCTCATAATAGTTCAGGCTCTAATATCATTGCCGACATGTGTGCTCATGGATGTGGATCTACATGATCATATAGTCATGGAGGTGGTGGTATTAACATGGCTTTCACAGGCAATCAACTTAATCACTCTAATTAATACGACTCTCCTTCACCTAATACTGAAGGTATGTTAACAGCTCAGTAATACATAATTCATCTAGTCATAGATGGATTGTTGACACTTGGGCAACAAATCATATGACATCCTTCAACCGAGTTCAATAAAGTTCATTTGCCTAATAGTCAACAAATACCTATTGTTTTTAGTGGGAAATCTAGATTGACACAGGGAGATATATCTCATGTTTTATATATCCCAGATTTTAAATACAACTTGTTATCAGTTTCTAAACTGAATAGAGAATTGCATTTTTGTATGGTATTTTATCCTGATCATTGCATATTGTAGGACCTTCTCACTGGGAAGTTGAAGGGGACAACATGGAAAATGGTTTATACTATTGGTCACACAGTGTTTCTTCTACTATTGCTTCTACTATTTCTCCCTCAGCTGCTTTGAACACAATGGATACTGTTGATTTGTGGCATAGAAGATTAGGAGATATTCCTCACAAGGTTCTTCAGCAAATGCAAATACCACATATCTCTGATTCTTCAAAATTGTCACCTTGCATAGTATGTCCTTTGGCTAAGCAAACTAGGTTGCCTTTTCCTCAAAGTTCTACTAGATCCAATAATGTGTTTGATTTGATTCATGCTGATGGTTGGGGTCCATATAAATTTCCTATTTATGATGAAAATAGATATTTTCTTACTTTGGTAGATGATTGTAGTAGAATGGTATGGATCTTCCTTCTCAAATTAAATAGTGATATATTTATTGTATTGAAAGACTTTCTTCAGCTAATACAAAGGCAGTTTGGTGGTTATATCAAGATATTCCGAAGTGATAATGGTACAAAAAAAATTAACTCTCATTGTAGTGATTTGTTTAGAACAACATGTATTGTTCATCAAAGCTCTTGTGTTCACACACCCCAACAGAAGGGGGTAGTGGAGATGAGACACATACAGGTTCTAGAGGTTACCAGGGCTATTTGATTTCAAGCTAATTTGTCTATCAGATTTTGGGGTCTATGTGTTCAAAATGCTTCTCATTTGATCAATATAATACCAGTCTTCTTTGGAAGAGACCCCTCTTTACATCATCTTAGAGTTGTGGGTTGCTTATGCTTTGTTGTCAATCACCATAAAATTGGTGATAAATTTTACACAAGATCTATTAAGTCAGTTTTTATAGGTTATTCTACCACACAAAAAGGATACAAACTATATAATTTATCCACTAAATCCTTCTTCATTAGTAGAGATGTCATGTTTAGAGAAGATCAATATCTATTCCGACATATTTAGGCTGAGTTTTGTGACTCTTCTTCCATTAAGAATTCTGATATGTTTGTTTATGATGATCCTCCCAATATTCCCTTGCCTGAAGTATTTGTTATCTCTCCTGATCCAGCTTCTTCATCTCCTGATCCAGATTCTTCATCACCTACTCAAATATATCACAACCATCTAAATCTCCTTCTACTAATATTGAACATGATCTTAAAAGGTCAACTAGATATTCTAAGCCTCCTGGATGGCTACATGGTTTTGTCCATACTACTTCTCACAACCCTGCACATTCACCTACTTGTTCTACTGCTCATCATTTATCCACATATATGTCTTATGCCTCCATATCCCCATCATATTTTCAAGCATTGTGCAATTTTTCTGCTATACAAGAAACCACTTCTTATGATGAGGCTGTGCAGAATTCACATTGGCTTCAAGTCATGGAACTAGAATTAAAGCTTTACATGATAATCATACTTGGGACTTGGTAACATTGCCCCTCGGGAAGAAGGCTATTGGGTGTAAGTGGGTTTACAAGGTCAAGTTTAATGCTCAAGGTGAGGTAGAGAGGTACAAAGCTCGACTAGTAGCTAAAGGGTACACACTACAAGAAGGTTTGGATTATCAAGACACATTTTCTCCTGTCGTCAAGATGGTGACAGTGAGAGTTGTACTTTCTTTGGCTGCTATGCATTGTTGGTTTTTGCATAAAATGGATGTCTTTAATTCTTTCCTTATGGGTGACTTAGTTGAGGAGGTGTACATGGTTCCTCTACCTGGTCTGCTACGACAAGGGGAATTATCCACAATCTGTAAACTAAAAACATCACTCTATCATCTAAAGCAGGCTTCTCGGCAGTGGAATTGAAGCTTAGTGAGGCACTTATAGGTTTTGGTTTCATCCAGAGTCACCATGATTACTCTTTGTTTACCAAACGTTCTAGTTCTGATTTGGTTCTTATCTTAGTTTATGTGGATGATCTTTTGATCAATGGTTCTTGTTCTCAATTGATCCAGGCCATTAAACTTATGTTACAGAATCATTTCAAGATCAAGGACTTGGGGGAGATGAGATACTTCCTTGGTCTTGAAATTGCAAGGAACACAGATGGTATTATGGTGAGTCAAAGGAAATTTGCTTTGGATCTTATCTCAGATTTTGGTCTTGCAGGGACCAAACCAATTAGCACACCTTTGGAAGTCAATCAAAAATTCACTAGTCAGGATTTTTACATGAATTGTGAAGCTCGGGATACACATGAAGATGTGGTTCTTAGTAATCCTACAGGTTATTAAAAAATAGTTGGTAAGCTATTATACCTCACCATGACAAGGCCAGACATTAGTTATGCAGTGTAGAATCTTAGCCAGTTCATGTACAAGCCTAAGAAGTCACATATAGAGAGTGCATTAAGAGTAATAAGGTACTTGAAGAATGCACCAGGTCTGGGAATTATGATGACATCAAAGATCTCTAAACAACTTTAAGTTTATTGTGATGCTGACTGGGCTACATGTCCTATGACAAGAAGATCTGTTAGTGGCTTTGTAGTGAAAACTGGAGATTCGTTAATTTCCTGTCGAAGAAACAGAATATTGTATCAAGAAGTTCTGCTGAAGCAGAGTATGGAAGCATAGCTTATGTTGTATCAGAAGTTGTGTGGTTAATAGGCTTGTACAAAGAGTTGAAGATAAAGCTGGAATTACCAGTTAGACTGTTTTGTGATAGCAAAGCAGCACTTCAAATTGCTGCTAATCCTATATATCATGAAAGAAGTAATCATATAGAGATTGCAGTGGCTATCATTATTAAAGACAATAGTTAGTTAGTAATTAGTCAAGTAGTTGGCTGGTTCAGCATAATAGTTAGTTAGGAATATAAATTCGTTATAACAGATTGTAGTGGCTAGAGTCATATAGATGTGCAAATGTATGAAGTGATGTATATATATATATGAGTATAATGATCAAATGTAACTATCTCAATACAAATTACAGTTCACTTTACATTGTTTGTTTTCCTTTTCCTCTCAATTCGTGAATCTAGAATCTACATTGAAGGAGTTAACAATCATGAATTTTAAGTGAATAAAAGTTTGAAGCTTAACCCATTTGACTAATTCATATTTTATCCATATTTTTATGGGTCAAATATGGGTATCAATACATATTTTACCCATATAAAAATCATTCCCCCAACCCAGTCAACAAAATATGAGCTCATTTTGCCGGCACTAGTTTGAGGTTATGGTCATTCTTCTCTTGACCTCTGACTACTTCATGATTTGAGAAGGATGATATACTTATATCCCTGCACTCCATGAGAGTATCTGTCATGATGTCATCCTTAACCATATTTGTCCATGGGTAGGAGTTCTTCAGAGAGAACTCTACTGATAATATTTGTGAATTCTCTCATGTCAGGTGGATCGGGTTCCTTGAATACATATTCCCTTCGTGTGTTCTCTTGATCTGATATCCCTGGTTCCATGTCATTTCCCCTTATTTCTGTACATTGTACACTCTGTTACTGGAGTTTTGACAATCTAGTATTTGCAATTAAGTGAATCATTTTAAAACTAGATTTTCTAACTATTTTCTGTTGCAGTAAAGACTGCGAAGATCGATCCATGAAGGACAAATCAAGGCTTAGTGTCTCTCTCAGAAATCTTTCACAACCAATGTTCGTAAAAGACATAGGAAGGACTTGGGATATTTGCACTCACGTGGTAATTTCTGAGTATGCACAGCAAAGTGGGAGGAACTTTCAGCTCAAATTACGGTTGGGTCTTGGGAGAATTGTTTGAGTGCAGTATGATCAAGTCATGAGATTGCCTTGATTCACCCTTCGAGTGTTGCCTCCTATTTAATGGAGGTGAATGCACATCTTTTGGGTGCACCACATGTTAAACTCAAAAGAAAGAAAATATAGGTCATCTAGTATGCCTGCAGCGAACCAGTAGCCTAATTTGACGATAATTCATACCTTATGCACCGTTATACATGCACTTCGCGTAAAAGTCTGTCAAGTTGAAGCAAATTTATAGTTCTTGCTATAGTTAACTATGTATAAGTCCTCCCAATCCCTTTTTGCGTTTCTGCCCAGAAAGTTTGTAGAGTGGCTAGAGGTTGAAGTTTTTGGGATACTTTTCTCTACGAACTGTGTTCGAATTCCCCATAGTACCTCTGCACATTTTTTCATTGGTGGTCTCGCCAATCTGAAAGGTGCAAGGCATTGTCTAGCTAATTTCAGTACTTTTTCAACAGCCATAATTGATGATGGGCTTGCTCGCAATCTTGGATCCATTGCTATTACAGAATCTCCATGTTTTATTATTCTCATCGCCTGCATTTGAAAATTATTTGCATTAGCTACTAACTTCATTGTAGAGATGGATCATATGGATGTACAAACTACTCTGTCCAACTTTATCAAAACCAATAAAAAGAAGAAAGCGCTATAGTAATGGTTGTTTCTTCAGAGAAAAATGAGTAAGGCGCACTTCAGAAAGAAATATGGTACAATGTTGTTTCCCTGAGCTCATAGTTTCACGTGATGAAAATTTTTGGAAAAAAAAACGACCTTCAATTGTCCAGTACACGCTTCCTTGTCAATTGTATGCAAAGTTGGAATATTTATTGAATTCATTTTTAGTTAGTTCATATATATACTCACCCATTTTATTGACACTGTCTCATCAATGGTTCGATTTGTTTCAATGGGATGTCTTCCTGTCATCATCTACACAAGCAAAACACCGAAGTAGTAGACATCACTCTTTTCTGTAAGCTGGTACGTCCTCAAGTACTCAGGATCTAAATAGCCAGCAGTCCCTTTTATTTATGTAGAAAAATGTGTAGCACAGGGATCATCAGTAGCTAATCGTGCAAATCCGAAGTCTGCTACTTTAGCATGGAAATTTTTCTGCAATGAGTATATTAAATTCTTTTATATCTCTATGGATGATTGGAGGATCTGTTATCAACATAAACACTCTGTAAGCATTTTACGAAAAACCCTCTTCATTCTTTAAAAGAAGTAACAATAGTTTGACATCCAATAAAATACCCCTTGCTGTCACCAAACATGACGTGCTACCTGTGTACGAGTGTAGATAGGTAATAGCATGAGCTACATCAATCGCAATGCTCAAACGCTCGGCAACTTCAAACTCAGTTCCATTTTACCTGGATTATATGTAGCAGATGACATTAACTTCCACTAAATATTGCCTCAAACAAAAATTTCAAGTCATCAGATAAAAGTAGGTTAATAACCTAGTATTAACAGTTTTAGAGTCTTAACACGTAACAATTTCTTTAAAATTTAAACGAGATTGGAGCAAATTACTAATATAGGCAATGCTTCATCCAGTTCTCAGTAAAATACCACTGGGAGTGACTAATAATCAAGTAAACCAAACAATCCTGTTGAACATGTGACTAGTGACTTTCTTGACCTACCATCCAAGTGTTCTCGAAGTGTTCCATTGCTGACATATTCAGTAATAATAATCCTCTCATCTCTGAGCTCCAGAAATCCATAAAATCTAACAAGATTTAGATGTTCAATCTTCGACAATGCCTGGACTTCATTCTTGAATTCTGCCAACACTCGCAAATCCTACAAAAGATTTCTTATAAAGATTTTGAGCACAATCTAGCATAACCTGTTAGTCTCAGAATTTTAGAGAGCATTGATTAAAACTGTGACTGAAGATACAAGCTATGCTCTTGTTCAGAGAAGGTTAAAGACTAATGTATATAACAAAATTCAATACAAAGCAGTGCCTTCTTAGCGCGCTTAATAGCAACAGGGAATCCATTCTTAAGCTTTCCCTTGTACACTGTCCCAAACCCACCTTCACCAATCTTGTGTACAGCAGAAACATTTCCAGTAGCCTGGCAAATTTCATCAAACGAGAACTCGAATGTACCCAGCTGCTCCCTGGTAGCCATTGAAGTTCTATGGGAATTAGAGTGTTGGGGTTTCAATAAAATTCCCCTCTTGCTTCCGGAAGAGTTACTACCTTTTGATGCTACAAATAAAATGAGAAAAAGACACTAAGTAAATTAGTTACAGCAAGACTTGAATGTCACCATAAATCATGTTGATGAACAGTGAATCTTTACGGCGATAATATATAATTACTTATGAGATTGAATTAGTAACTTACAGGAGACCTCCCTCTCTGGACTTTAACTCTTTGTTCTGCCAAAAGACAAGTGTAGAGAAAACATCAGTTAGCTTTTTGGTGACACTTTTGAAGGAAAAACCAAACTTGTGACGATGTTTTCTATGTCCAGCTGAGTAATCAATGATTAACTGTTGTTGGAAACTCTGCCTTTTGCTTCTGTTTGTTCCCTTCATCTGGTTTCTGTGTTGACCATATCAAATGCTAAAACCCATATTAGTGTGTTACATGTTCTTAAAGTTGTCATTTATAAAGGAGACTCTTTCAAACATTTGATGATTTTCTTATATTTTATTGAACACCATAAGCTAAAGGAAACTGCTTGGACTTGATTGAAAGCTAAAAATATTTCAACATGTTTCTCATTTGACTCAATCAACAACAGATTTTACAAAATTATCCATTTTCATTATTACTAATGCTATTTTAATATTATGGTATAGGGTTATGTTAAGATGGAAAGAACGACAAAGGATATTGACTTTGGTACTGGTACAAAGATAAAATAATATCACCAGACTAAACATTTATTGTTTTATGTCACTTTTGCTTGGATCTTTATTGTCCATTTTTTTATCCATTTCTGTCAACTGCCTCCATTTGTTTAAACCCCAGCATCACTACTTCCCTAGTTACTGTTTAGTTTTGCATCACATCAGCACCCACGTTCAAAGCAGTAACTACATGCCCACAACTATTTAATTAAAAAAACACTGTTTATCCAACACCCCAAGGACCAATGGTACTGTGAGAGGTCAATGATCATCTTCATCGCTACTGTCATCAACATCACTGGTTGCACTACTGCTTGAGGCTAATGAAATCACTGGTTGCTGGCAAGCTATTGCAGACTCAGCAGCAGAAACAACCTCAGAGGAATAAAGCTCTGCAACACCTAACATTAAATTCATTTCTATGTATTCAGAATCCTCCTGGGTGAGTACTTCTTCTATGTCATACTTTTTAGGGTTTTCCTTTGCATCAACCTCCAGTTTTCTGTTTGCTTCTGATAACACTCCAAGGAAATTCTTGGCCTTGTCTAGAACTTGGCTCTAGGAAGTTGAAGAGATCTCAGGCTTCTTGACAGTCGGATAAGGTTTGGAAATTTGTGACTGCATATCACTCCCTCCGTTGCAGAACATAAGTTTTGATTCAAAAGACGAGAAAGAGCTTTTTCTTTCTATCTCCAAGTCCAACAGAACATTGCTTGTGGACTTCATCTGAAGAGATTCTCTTCGTATCAAATAGAAGTAGTGGATAGGAACAATACTCTTAGCCAGGGCCAAGTAAGACCAAAGCTGCTAGTGAAAGATCTTCTGCGTGGAAATATTGGACTTAGTAATATTAGGGGTTGGAGTGGAAGCATTTTAACATATCAGATTGTATATGATAAATAAATACTTTAAAAAGGAAAAACAAGCGGCTCACTTTAATCAAATCCCCTCTCAATGATACAAGTGAAACAGATACTCGCATGCTTCTACAAAAGTTCTCTTAGATCTTCTGTTTAGATCATTCAAACACAGAGTAAGTATTACCTTTAGATAAATATGCACGATGCACATCAACTATTAAGGAAGTTTCTCACCTAACAAAGTGCTTATCGTAGCATTGTTTTGTGCTACAATTATCAACTGTATTTATTGATATACTTCTTTCAATATTCCACTTTGACGAACAATTAAGCAACACACTACATAAAGTATCCTTATCATGTGAAGAGGGAACATAAACAAATCTTAAAATATGATTCTAACGCTACCATGAGTTATGAATAGAATGTGTCGTAATAGCGATGAACCCTTTCTATTTTAGTTTGAAGTCCACATATCAATTGTTACTGCAATTTTACTTGTGAGTTTCTCCAACAACGTATACCATAATATTAAGGGAAAATTTCATATATGGCAAACTTATTAGATTAAATAACATTATATGGGTATAGTTTACCTAATTACATAATATGGGTATAGTTAAGTTATTAAAGGTGTCTTTAATTTTGTATATAAATTTTTTATTATTATTTATACAATTCTATTTTAAAAAGTTGTTTGTAACTGAATCATTAAATATGGTAACAATAAATCAAGATAATGCCACAATTTTAGGGAACCGTCCCTATTTTCAAGTCATACGTTCAAATTCAAAAAAAAAATTCTGTTTATAATAAGTCATGTACAAATTAATTTCTGTATATACATACCTACCTATATATACAAAAAAAATAAAAATAAAAAGTCATTCACAGATTATTTTCTGTTTATATATATGAACTTACCTTTTTTGTATATAGTATATACCAGCACGTATTCAATGTCTTTTATTGTATATGCACATCCAATTAGATTGCAATAAATATACATATACAATCTTATTGAATAAATATATACATGTACAAAAATGCATTTTACGAATTTGTCTAACAAGAGATATATGTTATTCAGGTTTTTAATTGTATATAGTATATACAAACACTTATTCAATGTTTTTATTAATTGTATATGCATATTCAATACATTATATTCGATAATTTATATATAACTACTACAATATACAAAATTATAATCACATATGATATTTCCCCATCTATATGCAATCCCTACTACTAGCTATTAAAACAGACATGTACATATCAATTTTTGTATATGTATGTAAACTTAATATATACTAACTTCAAAAATTTGTATATAACTAATAGAATATACAAATTCTAATCATATATTCAAATTTTCCATCTGTATAACTAAGTCCAATTACTATTTTGCATATATATACAAAAACCAAAAATAACATAAACATGCAATATACTATATACAATTACTCACATGGAATATACTATATACAATACTTAATTTAATGGTTTTTGTATATTGACAACTAATTAACAAAAAAACTGTATCTAAGTTTGTGTTTTAAGACACTATCTCATGATTATGAAGTTCTTCAGATCCGACTTCACAATCATTTTCCTCTGATTCAAATAGTACAACTTTCCTCTTTCTTGTACCTTGTACAATTTTAATGCCGCTAGCTTTGGCATTTTTAATAACTTGTTGAACTGTCATAGGGTCG